CCAAGGCAAATATGCCCCATCCCTTTCCTAGGTCCTCCAGTAGAGAGGTTGGAACAAGGGCACCCTTTTTTCTGTAGTCTACTTTAGTAAGGGAACCCTCCCCCCAAAAAAAGAAACGGAAAAAGGGCACCCAGCTGGGGGACCCAGTTTCTTCTCAAGGCGCCCTAAGCCACGCCAAACGGCCTCCATCATCGTTGGCGCTCGCAAGGCCTCGGCGAGAGATGATGGCAGATGATGGCTTGCAAGAGAGGTCCAGCGGAAGGCTGACACGCAGCACCTGCCTCTATGACAGCCATGTGGCTGTGGTTGTCAAAAACGTTTTGGGATCTATCCCATTTTGGTTGGTAGGTGAATTCACCACCCATTTTTGAACCTATTTTAGTGGTTGGATTGGTTGATGTTCAACTGAACGTTTACTCGAGGTCCTGCATTCGATGAGCTTCTAGTTTGGTGTAAGCCTGCCGATTTGGGGGGAATCACGCGGGAGAGTGCACCCACTGCCGTGTACTGGGAGTCCTGCGCAGCTGCTAGTCCTTCTTTGACTGATCCGATGATTTGAGCTCGCCTTTTCTCAATTGTCCTTGTTGATACAACGAAGGGATCCCACAAAAGACGATTTTGCTGCGTGAGTAGAGGGGAACCTTCGAAGTCCTTGTAGTCTTCTTCCAAAAGGGGCGGGAGGCAACCGCGCCATCTGCAAGGTGAATATCAAGATGGTCTGCAGAAGGAAGTGCAATAGGCTGGCCAATTCTCAACTCCGAACATGATTTGTTGTATCTTGTTGTGTCTTATGGCTGAATTGCTTGCGATCTGTACTTACCTTTGCCCTGCAAACACGTTGGGGTGATTGAATGCTGGTCCTGTGCGGCAGTTACACGCAGAGCAAAAGGGAACAAACAGTCCCATACATGTCCCACGGGCGATGAAATTTGGCCGGCACTACTCATGTGTGTGTGTGTGCCTGTGATACATTCATGCAGTCCCTCAGATTCCCCCTGCAAGATCCAAGAGTCACAATCAAAACCCGGTTTTAATATGGTCTACCCAGAACCATGTAAATAATTAAGAAGGCGGCCGCAGCCATTTCTGGTTGGGACTGCCCCTTACTAACCTTCATCTACCCCGGTTTTGAGCAAGTGGCTCAGGTGAATACGTACTCTGTTTGACGGCCAACTAATATGGCAGGCTATTGGCTCGTTGACATCCTTGGTACATTGAAGTGCCCACACGCGAAGGCGGTTGCTGTGCCAAACATTGAGGGGTGTAAGCATTGCTCAAGAAAGCATCGACCCTGCCCATGAATGCAGATGCATGTTGTGGGACCGGCATATCATGTGCTTTTGGCAGTACGTCAAAGCCCTAAACGTTTGAAGTACCAAGCCGCTTGCAAGAAGTGCCCACGGAATCGTCCGCATGGCCCGCATGGCTCAACTGGGCAATCGCCCCCAATGGATCGCGGCGCAACCAATGTGTCTTGTGTGCCATCAAAATGCATTTTTGTTTGGAGGTATCCAAAAAAAGTGGCAGAAGCTTGATAGAAGTTTGATGTGACGTGCACTGCGCATGGCACCCGAGTCTCCATAGTCGAGCGCTCGCTTCGGTTCGGTGTTCTGGGAGCCAAAGGCGGCACCGTGGGCATCAATGGTCTTGAAGCTTGTGGGTAGACCGTTGCGTTAGGGACTGAACTCTTCTCATCGGCAAGAAATGCGGTTTCTTCGTCCCATCTCCGTATCTCTGGCCATAGCAAGCAAATCCATCCGCCACTCTGGGAACCTGCAGCAAGCTGGCTCCCTCTCTGCGCATCCCATCCCCCTACTTCATAGAAGGAACCCCAAGAGGTCGATTTCTCACAAGGATTTCCCTTTCGGATTCCATGTTTGCTAGAGGGCTTTTCTTGTTCAGAGGCCATGTCTGCACAAAGCTGTCCTAGATGGCCCTTATAGATTGTGAAACAACTTGCTCTTTTCGGATTTCGGAGACCTGCATGGATGTGTCAACAAGAGGAGGAGGGGCAAACCCAACAAAAAACGAGCTGGGTACATCAAATCATACCAGCATGACGCTCGTCCTCAAAACTTGGCCCAACGCTGAGCCACACCAAACATAGGATGTTCGGATTCTGCTTCATGGCTAGTCTAGGCCCGGGTACTCTGAATCTAAGTTTGTTCATGATAAAATGATCATGTGTGTTATTTGGCCTTCCCCCTCAAAAAAAAAGAAAACATGTTCATCAGTATGTGTTCAAACATGAAGAACAAAGCATGCCTGTGTCAGGTTTTAGAAGACCCAGGTGCTTTTAGTTTCCATCTACCAACCAGAAAATGGGGCACCCCCCAAAACCAAAACCTACCCGGCTTCGAGCGCCGATTGCCTCGAGGGTTGCCACTGCAGCACTGTGTGCCGCCAGCAGCCGACCCTGTGCCTTCGAGAACAAAACACACACAGAGAAAAAACACACACACACACACAAGGCCCAGGCTGGCGCTACTGCGGGTGGTTGCGACGTCCAGATCTCGCACCACCGTTCAGAAACCCCTGGGTGTCTGATTCGATCCCCCTGGAAATACCCACACAAATATGGTTTCAACCGTGGATTCAATTCGGTAGAAAATGGATTTCGTCCATCCACAGAAACCACAGTAATTACGTCCCCAATTTCTGACTTTGACAATTTGAGAATCGCAGTTTTGCTTGGGGTCAGTTTGATTGACAAGCGCCATCTATTTGCAGATTCGAGACCTATGATTGTGAGCCTCGGGTGGGCCCCTTTACAGCAAGTCGGTCAAAGGTCCGACAAATATTGCAAAAGCCTCTTTCCGCAACAATCATGCTGGGATCGCAGTCTCCTGTCAGCTTCCATGAGATAGTGTAATCCATTTGGGTCCAGCAGTTTTTGAAGGGGGTGCTGTACCTTTAAACTCGGCCAGTGGTAACCAACCTACAAAAACAGGGAGCCTTGTTTGGACACTTTCTGGATATTGTGGGAAGGGTGAGCACAACAAATTCATTTTGTGCAGAGGCATTGCCATTTCTGCGAAGGACTTGGGTTGGAGGGCTTGTGTGTCCCTTGAACACCCAAAACCATTGTTTCCCTTAAAACCATTCACCATTTAAGCCATCCAAAACCCTTTGAGGCATCAAATAGATATGTTTGCTGCTGGAACTATCCTCTGTTCGTTGCTTGCCTCACTTCCTGAGTGCCACCAAAAATTGGGTGTGGCTCAAAAAACCAGTACCAAAATGGGTTGCCCTGGCAAGTGGAAACATGGACCAAAACCTGCGGTTTGCCCCTCCTGTTTAATTTTGAGCCACACCCAATTGTCTTTCCAAGCAGTGACTCAAGTCCAGCAACTCAGAGAGTTCCCTTTGACCCCGTCCCCAAGCTGTCTTGCTTTGCCATCCAAAACAGGTGCTTCTGTTGCAAACCTTGAATCCATCCACGGCCGATGTTTTGCCTATCCAAAGCCAGTGCTTCCCTTCCACAAATTGGAATCACTCTAAAACCCTGCCCAAACCTGGCTTACCTGCAAAACACTTTCCAGAACCTTTACTTCCATCCAACACGTGTTTCCACTCCCAGTGCTTCCCCAAGTACAGGCTCCATCCAAAGCAATCTTACGGTGGTTTGGGGGCTATTCCCCACATAAACCACCATTTTTGGGGTGAATTCGGTCGTGTGAGGTCGTTTTCATTCACCCAGAATCTTCCTCTTGAACGTCTTCCTCTTGATTCCCCTTGGAAGCACCCAAAAAAACGACTTGTGACAAGGCCTCCTGCAGGGCTGCCTCGAAGGGCGCCTCGAAGGGCGCGCCTCGGACTCCAAAGTCCCTTCGGGAAACTCCTCGGGAAAAATGGAGCTGGAAAGGACCCTCACAGCCCCCCCCCCCCCCGGAGGTAGGGGGATACCCCCCGAAGGTCGTAGCCCCAAAATGGCTCTCTCTCTCTCTCTCTTTCCTTTGGCTTCCCTGTAAACCCCGGAGGCTCCAAGGATCTAAGGGCCCAAACAATGAATCCAACCCCGGGGTTTCATCCGGGGGGTTTTGGTGAAACAGACGTGTCAAAAAATCGCCCAGGCACCCCGGCACCCCCCCAAAATGGTGTTGCTTTTCTCCTGGACAGTCGCGTCGAGAAAACAAGCGTAAGGGCAACTCAAACCGCGGCCCAGGGTTGAAGGGCGATCTGTGCTATCTTCACTTCAGGCACCCTCCCCATGTATCCCCTTTACTTGGTCAAGGGAATCGATACCATTCCAACATCTGAAATACGAATTGGATCCCCAAGACAAGATCCCCAAGTCAAGGACCTACACGCTCGCGAACCGACTCGCTCTTGGGTCTCCCGGCCCTCCATTTCGCCCTTTAGGCGCAGCCGAAGGCTTCGGCAAAAACCGGTTCCAAGCGCTGCGGCAGCAGTCCAAACAACTGGAAACGCTGGGAGAATTGGGCGACCCTGCACTTCGGAGGGTTGCCAACCCGCACATTGACCCGATGGACGTGAGGCTATGGGTGGTTACCCCATCTTTTTTGAGACAAAAAGGGACGGGGAGATCCCTGAAAGGCTAGGAGAACATGATTTCTAAGGCCTGCGTCTCGAAATCACACAGTCGGAAGCAGAAGCCCACAAATAAGAGAAAACCAAAGAACGCCCCAATGATTTGTAGAAGGGCTCTGAGGAGCGTTCTGGGGGATTGGTGGTAATGTCTGTCCTCACATACAATGCGTATATTGTCCAAATGAAAGAGCCAATACTCATCGACTTTTATAATGTGCAACGAAGAGATAGTTAGATGCCGAAGCATCCGGTGGGTTCTCGATGTAGCCCAAAAACCACCTGTGCCAAACATGGTCGAAACGCCCCCGCCTAGTCCCAACAGGGATCCGGGTATCTAGAAACTTGCTGGTGCTCAGCAGGGAATGAGGGAATGAACCCTTTCAACCATCCCTTGTACGGAAACCAAGGGAATCCCCCTCATTCCCTACTGAGCACCAGCAAGGAAACCATCCTGGTGAGAATCCGTTTGCTCTCTGTCTCGTCTTGGCCAGCGTGCAGCTCTTTTTTTGCAAATGCCGTGTTGCCAGGTCATCAGTATGGCCGCTTGCCTCAGCGCAAGCGAACTCGGAAGAGCCCGCGCCGGCAGCTTATGGCAAAGAAGAGGAGGAACCAACAAAACCGCCCTGCAACAATTGCGAGCCTCCCTCCGAAATGTCAGTGTATGTGAGGGCTAGAGCCAGACTTCAGGGACATGTTTGCATTAGTTGCAATCCGAGGGTGTAAAGTTCAAATAACACGTCGACTTTGTCCCTTAAAGTGACATCCTCAAAATTACCGATCGTGGCTCCAAGGGAAACACTTTGAGAAGCCCTCAAACAGGGCTTACGTTTCTTTTGAGGATGCCCTTTTCAGGTTGGTTAAGAGGGACCCCCAAACGGGCTCTTAATCTCCATTTTAAACAAATTCATCCTGCTAGATCCTGTTAGACGGTGCGACTGGGAAGTCCCGGCCAGGCCCTTGAAACTTGATGTATCGAGGGGGCACCCAGCATACGGACCAATGTTGGCCTGCCATACCGGTACCCTCAAAAACAGACACACACACACACCCACCCACCCACCCACCCACCCACCCACCCACCCACCCACCCACACACACACACACACACACACACACACACACACACCCACCCACCCACACACACGCACACGCACACGCACACGCACACGCACACGCACACGCACACGCACACGCACACGCACACGCACACGCACACGCACACGCACACGCACACGCACACGCACACGCACACGCACACGCAAGCACGCACACACAGCCACATGTCCACACCAGCTCGTTGCAACAACCACTTTGACATCGCAAACAAAACGCCACTCTCCGCAACCAGGTTGGGAAGGAGGGTTGGCCTTTGGACCGGCTCTGTTTACATCAGCTCGTTTAGGCTTTGAGGGGACCAAGGTCTGCTTCTGCCCAACCTTGGTCCCACCCAGTGACCTAAGCATGGACCAAGAACTCAAGATGTCGAACCGCAAGAGCCAGTCTAGATATAATATCATATGAATCATATGTATATACCATATACATTATGTTGCATGCATGATCCTGCATAATTGGTTTTGATCGCTTCTTACTTGTTTTCTTGGTCTTTCCGGGAATAGCCTTCTTTTATTAGTTGGATTGCATTGCACTGAGGTGTTGCAGCCATTTTGGAGTGGTGTTTTTTTTCTTTGGCTGGTTGCAAGTGCTTAAGAATGCCTGCAACCTGCTCTTTGTATTGCTTCACTATGAACGACTTGGCTCTAGCTTGGCGGACATCACTTTCTTGAGAGTTGACGGCTCACCAACCCTTTTCTCAGCCAAATTTCAAGCCACATGGATGTTCTTGAGGGAACCCTTTGCGGGAAACCAAGAAACACACCAGTTTGGAGGGAAACCGCTCGCCCGATGTTGAGGCAAACCCATCTGGCTCGGGGTCTCGGGGCCGGGCCGAGCTGATTCCTGCGGTCGACGATGAAGGAGATCTCGTTCCGGGGACCCGGGTCGACCTGTGCCTCAGTCAACTGCTTGACGTGTGCCGCCTTTCGCGGAAGGGGTGGGACTTTCTTTCAGGCCACATTTAGGGTTGGTTCAAAGCAAGAACTAGGCTGAGACCATTTTGGGTTTGCCTTGTTTTGAGGGTACCCGTTGTTCTGTGGCTTTAAAAGGAAGCCAAGAGGAAAGCCATCATTTTGGGTGGTCTCCTAAGAAAAGACCCAAATACAGCTCGAACCCCGGGTCCTTGCCGAAATCGAGTGGGAAGAATCAACATGGAGCTGGACGCAAAGCAATGCTTTGCCTAGGTGGGCTTTTGGACAAATACATGAACTTCCCTGGTAAATTCGTGGCATAAAACCAATCTAAACGAGTGGAAGCCATCTAATTCGGGGACCAAACTAACCTACAAACAAAAATACCCATGAATGCTTACAGTCGGGTGAAAGTACGTGCAATTCCTCCCTTGGTCTAGGCATCCCCTTGACTTACCCAGTCGTAATTTTATGAGAACCCTCAAACTGCAACCGCTCACTTCAAGTGACCCATTTGAGCCCCAAACACTCAACGAACAAGGCCTCCGTTGGGCTCACACCAGCAAAAGCGGAGCAAGCTCGAAACAAAGGAGGCCCCGTGCTTCGTGTGTGGATTGGCAAACTAAAAACCTTGCTTGCCACTAGAATCGAACACGGGACGTGAGCTTCATCCAGCAAATCATTCGCAGGGGTAGCAAATCCGGGGGCCCAAGTCATTTCAACGCAACGAGTGTCCATAATCATTCTTGGATGGGCCTAGAGAATAAGAATGGAGCAAGGCAAGGCCTCCCTCCTACTAACTTAGCAACTGTGGGAGGGCTGGTAGGTCAGGGACCTCCTGAGGGAAATGAGTCAGGAGAAAGCTATTGAAGGGGTATCTGGGTTACTTTTTAAAGGGTGGACCCCCAAAAACGGTGTCGCAAGCGTTTGAAGTTTCGACGGCCAATTCAACTGACCATGTCCCTCTAGGTGACTTTGATAACCCAAAACGAAACCCGTCTTGCTTGGTGGTTCGTTGATCCCTTAGTTAAGCTCTTGTAGCAGTCATGTCATCCGATGACCCAAAACGAAACCCCATTTTTGATTGGTGGCTGGTCGATCCCTAACAAAGTCCCATTTTGATTGGTTGGTTGATCCCTTAGAAGTACGTCATCTCTCGGTTGCTTTCTGCTCCCCTGCTAAGTGTTTAACTTTTAGTGGTTTAATGGAAAACCCATTAGATGGCAAAAAGTTAAAGTCCTAACATCCAAGCAAAACACACCAAAGATCTCATCCCTTTGACCTCCAGTCCCTTCAAGTCGAGCCGGTTGCCTACCGATATCATAAGCGTGGACCGTTCGTTCGGCCCCCGGCGGCGCGGATACAATCCGTCATCTCGTGCACCGTGCTGCTGGACCTCTGCAACTCGCCGATCCCTACCCGCGGGGAGGGGGGGGCAAGGGTCCTGAAGAGCTCCACAGGGAATAATGAAATGCAACTATTAGTGAAACTATTTCCTCTTATGAAACTATTAATGAAACTATCAATGCAACATTTGTCCTGAAACTATTTCATGTTGGGGTGGGGATATCAAGACAGAGTTGGAGCTAGTCCCGGATCCTGCCCCAAAAGGAAGTCGCCGCAGCTTTGAAACGGGTCCCGACAGGGAAGACTTGCCTTTTTGCGCCCTGGTTTCCTTGATGTCGCGGTGCACCGGAGGTATTGCAGCTTACCGCGTGAACGTGGATCATGACACAAGCAAAGAAACCCTCCAGCTAGGAAGACCCCTTGACGACTGGGGACTTACATGAATCGGTGTGCCTCTTTTTGGACCAACAGAATGGTTTCCCTTTTGGTTTCCCTTCAAAACCGACCAAAGGGGGGTTCCCCCCAAAAAGAAAATGCCCAAAGAAAGCCATTGGCCCGGAAGATCCCCAAGCCCACATCAATCAGCAGCCCCTCCCGGGAGACTCATCAGCAAAAGGGCGGTTTAGTCTACGCAAGCTTTCGCAACCCGAATTTCGTATCTGACCCTCTCAGGGCCCGGGCTTCATGACGTGTTGTGACCCTTTGCATCTAAACGTGACTGCCCTATCCTTCAAGGGGGCACCTGTTTGGCCGTTCGATTTGCTGTGAGAATTTCGGAGGACAATCCCCCTTCACTAAACTAAACAGCCCATCAGCTTACCTCTAATCAGTGGTTTGGAGCCCGGTGGGTTGGTGGTGTTCCAAGGGCGGTTTCCCATTCACCCTCTACAAGAACCAGGGGTTCATATGCAAATCCGGTGGTTTGGTGGTGTTCCAAGGGCGGTTTCCCATTCACCGTCTACAAGATCCAGGCCAAACCACCAATCCAAACCACTTAAGTGAAGTGCAACATGACTAACTGGCAACCAAAAAAGCTTGGTTGACGTTGGAAGGGGAGCAAAGATTTAAATTTTGGCAGTTAAGTGGGGATTTCCCACTAAACCACAACAAGCAAAAATGCAAAATGTGTTCCAACAACCATGAAAACGCCAACAGAACCCCCAGCTCCATGTCCTCAACAGAAACCCGGCCCTCTCGCTCCCTCTCGTCTCAAAGGCTGGGCCGCCCCGCGGCAAGTCCACAGTGCACACCAGCAGCTTCGGGGACTCCAAGCGGATGGTGCGGCAAATGGCCCACACCTGGCGACTCGCTCATGGTTTCTTCGCTGAACCGGTTCTCTCGTCATGGCCTCCCTGCAAAAAAAACAAAAACACGCCCACCCAACTCCCAATTTGGCCCAAAAGGGGGTCCACAAAAAGTGGTCTCTTGATGGCTTCCAAGGGAAAAAAGAGAAGTAGAAAAAAGCGCCGACCAAAAAGGGGATCCACAAAAAGTGGATTCTTGATGGTTTCTAGAATCCAAACACGTCAACCCAGAAGGGAGCTCAGAAATCCGGGTTGAGAAAATCCCCAAGTAGACCCAAGCAGTATTGTGTTATTTTGCCACCTAAGATGGAACCAGCGAAATCCCTTTCAGAGGAAAGTGGATCTTCCAAGCTGCCAAGAACCCCAACAGCCCTGGAACTTGCCCCAGGGCTGCGCCCTACACAGGATTGGCGGATTGACCCCAGAGCCGTCACTGACGAGAAACGAAACCCCAATGGCAGTCAGGGTGTAAACATGAAATGCGGCGAGTACTCGCTCCCCCCCCCTCGCCCCGCCCACCTTTCCAATCAAAATCCATTGAGTGCTGTTGTGGGGTGCACGCAATCGGACCCTTCTGTTGCAAAGCGGGTTCAAGAAAGACACATTGCCTTAGAAACCGTCACGAACTCGTTTTGCGAGCGCAGTCTGGCTGACATGGCAAACAGCCTTCCAACAGTGTCCATTCTGCTTTCTCCAGGGCCCCGAGTAAAAAAACAGAAGCACTATATGAACCATTGCCCCCTTTCATCCTCCTCATGGGCCCTCTTCTGAGTGTTTTTGGTGCAAACAGCCTTCTTCAAGGAGAGTCCATGTTACTTTTTGCAGGGCCCCAAAAAATCAAAACGAAGTTGAAACACTCCCTTCCATGCTGCTCATGGGCCCTCTTCCAAGTCATTTTGGCGCAAACAGCCCTTCTTCAAGGAGAGTCCATGTTACTTTTTGCAGGGCCCAAAAAAAACAAAATGAAGCTGAAACACTCCCTTCCATGCTGCTCATGGGCCCTCTTCCAAGTGTTTTTGGCGCCAACAGCCCTTCTTCAAGGAGAATCCATGTTACTTTTTGCAGGGCCCAAAAAAATCAAAACGAACTTGACACACCCCCTTCCATGCTGCTCATGGGCCCTCTTCCAAGTGTTTTTGGCGCAAACAGCCCTTCTTCAAGGAGAGTCCATGTTACTTTTTGCAGGGCCCAAAAAAATCAAAACGAAGTTGAAACACTCCCTTCCATGCTGCTCATGGGCCCTCTTCTGAGTGTTGTTGGTGCAAACAGCCCTTCTTCGAGGAGAGTCCATGTTACGTGTTGCAGGGCCCAAAAAAATCAAAATGAACCGTTGAAACACTCCCCGCCATGCTGCTCATGGGCCCTCTTCCAAGTGTTTTTGGCGCCAACAGCCCTTCTTCAAGGAGAATCCATGTTACTTTTTGCAGGGCCCAAAAAAACAAAACGAACTGAACACCCCCTTCCATGCTGCTCATGGGCCCTCTTCCAAGTGTTTTTGGCGCAAACAGCCCTTCTTCAAGGAGAGTCCATGTTACTTTTTGCAGGGCCCAAAAACAACAAAATGAAGCTGAAACACTGCCTTCCATGCTGCTCATGGGCCCTCTTCTGAGTGTTGTTGGTGCAAACAGCCCTTCTTCGAGGAGAGTCCATGTTACGTGTTGCAGGGCCCAAAAAAATCAAAATGAACCGTTGAAACACTCCCCGCCACCCTGCTCATGGGCCCTCTTCTGAGTGTTGTTGGTGCAAACAGCCCTTCTTCGAGGAGAGTCCATGTTACTTTTTGCAGGGCCCAAAAACAACAAAATGAAGCTGAAACACTGCCTTCCATGCTGCTCATGGGCCCTCTTCTGAGTGTTGTTGGTGCAAACAGCCCTTCTTCGAGGAGAGTCCATGTTACGTGTTGCAGGGCCCAAAAAAATCAAAATGAACCGTTGAAACACTCCCCGCCACCCTGCTCATGGGCCCTCTTCTGAGTGTTGTTGGCGCAAACAGCGCTTCTTCAAAGAGAGTCCATGTTACTTTTTGCAGGGCCCAAAAACAACAAAATGAAGCTGAAACACTGCCTTCCATGCTGCTCATGGGCCCTCTTCTGAGTGTTGTTGGTGCAAACAGCCCTTCTTCGAGGAGAGTCCATGTTACGTGTTGCAGGGCCCAAAAAAATCAAAATGAACCGTTGAAACACTCCCCGCCACCCTGCTCATGGGCCCTCTTCTGAGTGTTGTTGGCGCAAACAGCGCTTCTTCAAAGAGAGTCCATGTTACTTTTTGCAGGGCCCAAAAAAATCTAAATGAAGCTGAAACACTCCCTTCCATGCTGCTCATGGGCCCTCTTCTGAGTGTTGTTGGTGCAAACAGCCCTTCTTCGAGGAGAGTCCATGTTACTTTTTGCAGGGCCCAAAAAAAACAAAATGAACCGCTGAAACACTCCCTTCCATGCTGCTCATGGGCCCTCTTCTGAGTGTTGTTGGTGCAAACAGCCCTTCTTCGAGGAGAGTCCATGTTACGTGTTGCAAGGCCCAAACAAATCTAAATGAACCGTTGAAACACTCCCCGCCACCCTGCTCATGGGCCCTCTTCTGAGTGTTGTTGGCGCAAACAGCGCTTCTTCAAAGAGAGTCCATGTTACTTTTTGCAGGGCCCAAAAAAAACAAAATGAAGCTGAAACACTCCCTTCCATGCTGCTCATGGGCCCTCTTCTGAGTGTTGTTGGCGCAAACAGCGCTTCTTCAAAGAGAGTCCATGCAGGGCCCCCAAAAAATCAACACGACCACTCCCTTCCATCCTTCTCATGGGCCTCATGGGCCACCTTCTGGTTGGTTTTCATGCGGTAGCACACGTCAGCTCATGTTGCTTCCCAGGGCAACCGAAAAGCAAATGGCATTGGCCGAGCGTCAGACTCCCCCCACGGTGCAGCCCGTCCACCAGATAAAATTTGCTTTTTCCAGGGCCCCAAAAAGGCAAATGAGCTGTTTAAATACAAAAAAGGAAAAACAAACCTGTTTCCCGTGAAGGAAATTACTCAAGCTTCCGCATTTAATGCACCATTACTCCGTTTTGTCCTGCTCATAGGCCCTCGTCTGGTTGTTTTTGGTGCAAACTTTAAAAGGGTTCTAACGAATGGGTTCTAAATGAATGCTACACAAATGACAGTCCTTTGGTGCAAGCCTTCTAGAACCCATTGATGCATGGGTTTGTCTCAAACTAGGGCCGCCCCCCCCCAAAAAAAAAGAACAAGAAAAACAAAAAGCTAAAATTGACTCCCCCCCCCCAAAAAAAAAAAGACCAACAAAAACTAAAACTGACTCCCTGTTGGCTTCACTCCAACAGCACCCGAAGGTCCCCTCAGCGACCGTTGAGCGACCGCGATTGGGGACCCGGGACCCGGCCGTGGTGGCCAAGGGCGCGGTGAACTGGGAGGGCACCATCTCCCCCGTGTGCCGCGCCATGACGCCCTTGGTCATCACCTTGAGGGGGGGAGACTCGCTGAGACGAGTTGGAGAGACCTGACATAGAGTTGGACAGGTGGAGAGATGGAGGTAGAGATGGAGGTAGAGAGGGAGGGAGGGGGAGAGGGAGGAGGAGGGAGGGAGGGAGGGAGGGAGGGAGGGAGGGGGAGGGAGGGAGGGAGGGAGGGAGGGAGGGAGGGAGGGAGGGAGGAGGGAGGGAGGGAGGGAGGGAGGAGGGAGGGGGAGGGGGAGGGAGGGAGGGAGGGAGGGAGGGAGGGAGGGAGGGAGGGAGGGGGGAGGGAGGGAGGGAGGGAGGGAGGGAGGGAGGGAGGGAGGGAGGGAGGGAGGGAGGGAGGGAGGGAGGGAGGGGGAGGAGGGAGGGAGGGAGGGAGGGAGGGAGGGAGGGAGGGAGGGAGGGAGGGAGGGGGAAGAGGGGGATAGCGACAGAAGCAACTAAAGAGGAACAACTTGGAAGTCGGAGCTGCCCTTGAGCGAGAAAAGGACAGGACTTATTCTTGGCTTTCCCACACCCACTCGTGCAACAGTTGGAAAAACTCTGAGGTGGCTGTGGGTCAAAACCAATGGTACCATTTTGGGGTAGGTCCACCACCCATTCTAGTCTATTTTAGTGGGGATTGGGATGTTCACTGGGGTTACAAGCTTTTGACCCATGGCCAGGTGAGTCCAAAGAAGTCTGTCTCAAAATTGGCAACTTCGAAAGGAACCCAAAAACCTCGAAGCGCCACTCAGAGAAACGCCCGAGAGAGAACAGAACTTTCCGCTGGAAGAAATGGATCCTGTCGAATGGGGACTCTGAGGAAAGCAATGAGACAAGAGGAAAATACTGAGGAGCGCAACAACGGCTGCTCGATGGGTTTCTAAGAAAACAACTTGGGGCATGACTTGTTCCTCAATATTGCAAGTTGGGAACAAGTTGACAACGTTGAGCAAATCTACGCTTGTGGCCACATCTCCATCCCTGCCGTGCCCCCTCTCCCATGCCGGGCGCGGCCTCTGTTCATGAGGGGACTTGAAGGGGTTGGTTTCCTGATTTCCCTTTGAAACCATCCTCAAACGCGTTGTTGAGCTAAGGAAACTTGGAGAGGGCCCCGGGAAAAGGGAATTCGCTTTGGCGCTCCGCCCTGAACGTGCCCAGGTCGCGTTCCAAGTATTGCTTCAGCTGCGGTCCAATCTGTAAGCACAAAGGCCACAAGCTCTCAAAGGAACTGTTCGGATCTTCACCGTGCTGGTTGAGTCACTTCCAACCCAAAGGAACATGAATTTCCAAACAACCAAACAGGGGGGACACTTTGTTTGTCGGTTGACTCAACAGGCACCAACAAAAATGCAACGAGCCGGTGGAACCGATTAGCTGAGGGGCAAACCCTGTGGGAACCCCCTTCTTCATTCCGAACCCTTTCTACAAGCACTCAAAAAGCAAGTTGGATGTCCAGCCAAGTAATAATCATGTTTCTCTTGGTTAACCGGTTAAGCCTTCCATCCCTTCATCATCCCTTTCTCCACTCACCGCTTTCCCTCGTCAAACACCTCTCGTGTCGCGGACCAAAAGCGAAGCGAGGGGTGGGATCAGAAATGGGTCCAAAAAGCTGAGTCCAAGAACCGGCTGGTGCGATAGAGTTGGAATGAACCGTTTGAGGTCGCCGGAAACCACCAGTTGGATGGCTTCTCTTGGGGCCATTCCATTTCTCATTCCCTGCCTATCGCACCAGCAAGTCTGGATGGTTCATCTTGGGGGCCCTTCCGCTTCTCATCTCCCTAGTTGTTCCTTTCAGTTTCCTTTTAAAACCAGCCAAAAGAGCGTCTCCCCCCAAAGAAAAGACTTCTCTTCTCGCAAGACCACCACCGAGCCCACCGAATTGCCTCCCGATTTCTACTCCCGCCGAGGCGCCAGGAAGGCGACCTTGTCCGGGATGTTCTTCAGGTCGTCCGCGAACTTCAACAGCTCCAAGCAGTACCTCGCAGACATGGCATGAGCTGAGCATGGCATCGGTGTCACATGGCATGCGCGTCAATCATAGGTGTCCGTTTAAGGGAAATAAGTTGTTTATTTGAAGAATGATGAAACACCACCAGGTAAACCAGGGAACCCCAGCTATTTTTCGAGGAAACAAAAAAACAAAACAAAAAAGAAGGACACCTATGGTGTCATTTTTTTGAGGTGGTACCCCCTCAAAGGTTGGCGTAAAGAAAAACCAAAAGGACAACGCAACGAATTTAGGGGGGGTCCTCAAGCCCAAATCGCAACGAGTTCCAATCCGTTCAAACATTCGCAACAACACCACTCTTTGAACAACTCCAACAATTGGTTTCCCTTATTAGAGCAATTGTTCAAACAACAACTCGCTCAACCTCGGAATTTCCCCCCAAGGGGGGGCTGGTTCTGGCGCCATGGTGACTACCATGTGTGGTCTTTGAGCATCAGAGAGGTTGGTTTCAACCGGGCCTATGGGCAAACCCGTCCCATCTCTGGCTGCAAAACTCATTAGAGGGAAAATGAAACGCTTCTGCCTCAAAGGGGGAAACCGACCTCGCGGTGTTAGTCTTTTGTTCCATTTAGCAAGGTGCCATTTTGGTACATGTATTTGAGCCACAGCCATATGTCTGGCGGCCGGGGAAAAACGCCTTGCAGCCCAGGCCTAGCCCGCGCAAGCTGAGGCCCCTGGCATGATGTAGTCCAGCCGCTGGAGAGGGAGAGACCAAACCTAGGGCCAGTGGTCAAACATATGGGGTGTCCGAATTTTAGGAATCTAAAACCAGAGACAACTCATGGTGGGCTTTCCTTCCTGTTGGTTTCCCTCTAAAAACTACCAGTATCCTCAAAAAAAACAGTCGCCCATATGTGCAGCTACCCCGGGAACCTGCTTTTGAGCCCGAGAGCAAAGGCAATGGGAAGATTGCTGTGTCCCTGTTTGTTTGGGAAGGTTCGTGCACCCCCCGAAATATCCCGTCCAAATTGCCCATAGACTGGGGATCTTTCTTGCCCATGACTAAAATAGACCAACATCGGGTACAAAAGGTCAAAAGGTCGATTCGCTTTGGACAAGAGAGGGACCTGAGGTAGCGAGCTCCGAGTTCTTGAATTTTGAGACTTTCGGTCGGCCGAGCCATGGGAAACGCCAAACCAAATTGCGGCTCACTGAATTCGCCGACCCCGGTTGGGGGCAGAACGCCCCCCTTACTGAGGCGTGCAAAGAGCCGGAATGAAATGGGTGCTGCATTTAGGTTGAAATTGAAATTGTGTATGTCCGCCAAACACCTTGGAGGTGGTTCCCCATTAAAATTCATAGCCAAATGGGAACCCTTCAAGAATCTTCTTAGACTCAATGTGCATTAGCCACGGTCCAAACATGTCTTCGGTCACCCTAAAGGAACATGTGCTAGTAGGGTGCCGTCCCATGCTTGTTGTTGCAATTTAGAGCGCCCCCCAAATGGAACCAGGTGCTCAAACAAAGCACAAAGGGTTGCTTCCACCCTCAGAAACGCGGGTTAAATGACATGTCCCTCCAAAAGTGCTTGGACATACTTTGAGAAGCACCAAGCATGGCGACTTGTTTCGGAACAAATGACTTCAAGACCGCTTCCAAGGGTTGTGCCAGGTGCAAAGCGAGCAAAGCAAGGCCCCGACAATGCAGTTGGACGACTGGGTGAAGAGGGAGTTGGCCGTGAGGTTGATGCTGCTGTCCTGCTGCCTTGCATGTTCGGAATTTTCTTGCAGGCGCTCAGCAGGGAATGATCGAGGGTGTTGGAAATGAACCCAGGGATTCCCTTAAAGGAAACCACGAGGGATGGCTTGCAGGGGTGAGTCCCTCATTCCCTGCTGAGCACCAGCGAGCTTTCGTCCACCAATCCAAAGGCCACAACGTCCCGTTCCCTTGCCGTCCACTTCCTTGGGTCTGAGAAACCACACACGTTGATTTGAAGGGGCTTGACTCAAAGGAGCCTCAGGCCGCATCGCTCGTTTTGCGGGTGCCGAAAAACCCAAGCTTTGAGTCCCTCACGATGGCGAAAAGCTGCCGGGCCCGGCAACGAAATGGGCGATCCGATCGTCTCTTCAATCAAAACCCGGGATTGAAAAGAAGGTCTACCCACCATGAAAAGAGCTCGATTTGCCAAACATTCGCTCAGCCTGGAATGAAGAATTCGCCAACACAGCCTCCCCACGAAACTGGAATTCTGTCTACAAGCCGGAACGCCAAAAATGTCCTGAACGTAGGTGTCCTTTTTGGAAAATAGATGGCCCTGGTAGATGATTGAACCACCAGGTAAACCAGGGTCTTCTATTTTTAAAGCAAACCAACCAAAAAGGTCACCTATGGTCCTTAAGCTGTTTGCCTCCGACTCAACCAATCCAAAAGGAACCGCATGTTGAGCTACCGCTTAGCACGTGAGGGACGTGCGTAAGGAGCCTTCCTGGCTGAGGCCTATAAATGCTCAGTGGCAGCTCGCCCGGAAATATGGCCCGGTGTGTCTCCGATTTGGGCGGATGCCCACCAAGGGTACTGGGCTCCTATTTGGGAAGTCTGACATGATCCATCCCTTTTGGGTTGTTTGAGGAAATGAACAATTCTTGGCCGAGCACCTAAGAATCTTCCCTGTTAAGTTCCCCTTTCGACCTGGCAAACTGGGTCAAGTGACATCCCCAAAATCTCTAAATGGAAAGCAACCCACACCCAAAAAAAGGCTCTAAATGGGTTCAAGAAAAATCATCGGGCCCCACAAGTAACTTGGAGAACCTATCAGTTGGCACATAGACGAACAAATTGTGACTCACCCAATGCCTGGTTTGTCTCCACTCCTTGAAACCGCCCCAATTGGGTTTGTCTTCGGGAACCCTGACAAATCAAATTTCCCTTAAGTTTCCCTGTAACCCCCCAAAAAGGTTACCCCAAATACCAAATTGGGTGGATTTTTTCTTGGGTTCCCTTATGTCTCCCAAAAAGGGAGAGTTTCCCCCTGGTTTTCGAAAAAAATGTGGTTTCCCCCTCATTTCCCTTGGTTTCCCTCGAAAGACGCAACCCCCGCCGGTTTGAGACACATCTCAGCCCCCGGCGCCACGGTGAGCCGCGGGTTGGGCGTGATCTTCGGCAGCGTCTGGGCGGCGCGCGCCGCGCGCTCGCTGGATGTGGCTGTGGGAGATACCCCGGGTAGGAACTGGGGGTCAACCAGTGGTACTGTGGATGGTTGCGAAATCCATTTCGCACCACTTTGAAACCATGAAAGCCATTGTTTGCATTTACAGGGGAACCAGTATTCCAGGGTTTCTTAAGTGGTTTCGGGGTCCGCCCAAAGGAAACAATCAGTCGGATGGTTGTTCTTGGGGCCGTTCCATTTCTCATTCCCTGCTGAGAACCAGCAAGTGAAGGGAAACCCAAACGAAGCCGACATCCATTTGGCGGCCATGTTAAGACACACCCAGGTGCTGATTCAGAATGGGTATAGAATGGGGGTGGGTACCAAAAACCAGCACCTAAGTAGTCTAGATCATTGGTCAAAATAAGACCAAATTACCACATGATCAGAGGAGAATATGTTACCCCTTGTTGGCAGTTTCAGGAACAAAACTGGAACGGGTCACAAATGATGTGTAGAATCCCTCAGTAGGAAGGGGTCCTTGGTTTCCCTCCAAATCCTGTCGGGGTGTCAGAAGGGAATCCCTGATTACTGATGAAACGATGGCACCAGCAGACCGCTTGGGTGCAGGCAGCTGGATTTTTGCGACCCGTGGCTTCGTCTCAACTTGGGGGACGTGAACATTCGTCGGGAAGGCAGCACCCACTTCTCCAATCCCGGCGATCAGCGGGCGTTTCTCGGCGAAGGTTGTACAAGCTCTCCTCGACAGGCTCTTGTCAAGGGCAAGGTTGGTGTCCTGCCTAGTTAGCACAGCAAATCGTGGGCTCTGTACCACTTGCCTCAGACTCCGCGTAGCACAAACACAGCGCATTGAACGCTGTTGACCCTTGGCTTCAAGCAGCCTTCTACCGGCTTGTTTCACAGGGAACTGCGAAATTGACGTTGCGCAGTTGAGAAACTGCTAAATACTTGATGGCACTTCCAGGGCAGGGAGAGGACAACACCTTACCTATCAAATCACTGGTTCCAGAGCAAGGAGTTGTTACTGCAACACCCCTGTCCGCTTGCTGCAGTTGGTATGGTGTATTCCTTTCTCCGGTGAAACATATTGTTCTGCTTCCCTTCTCACGGACCACTAATCGCTACTGCATCCACAATCTCCAAGTTGGAAACCCGGAACTTGCAAACGCGTTCTGGTACCCCGATCCAGCTCTTGAAGCAGAGAGAGAGAGAGAGACTTTTATGATGAAAGCGGAGAAGCTAGCAAGAACACGCCGGGACGAGCAGTGATAGTATACGATGTCAGTCTTGACAATGGCACAAACGAGCAGTGCCCACCCATGGACCTTTGTTTCTGCCAAGATGCTTTTGCAGGTTTATATCGGCCTTTCTATGACCACCATCCAATGGGGGTATTGACGACATATATGTCGGTGTGCTATGGTCGAATTCTCTAGCTTATGGTCATGTTCCCAAAAGGTCATTGCTTCTAGGTTGGTGCAACTGACCCAGGGCCACAGCCCTCCTAGATACGGTCCAGTATATATATATATATATATATATTATATCTGTATATACGCTTGTTCTCCTGTACATAGGATCTGCTAGTCGATATTCTTCCATTTGCTTCTTCGACCCCTGGAAAACATGAGAACATATGTCCAGCAGTGTTTCAGTGATAGATTCCCTTCAAAACCAAGGGAAAATGGAACATATGGCGATGAATTTTAATGGGCCCCTCCCAAATGCTTGGTGGACACAAATCCCCACCTAACTGATGTCCACCAGAGGGCCCCTGATTAAGATTGACCATATTCTGAAACGCAAAGGGAAGTAGTTGCTTGAGCATTGCCCTTAGGCCTCCTCAATCTGCAAGACCAGCGCATCCAGGGCCTCCTCCTTGCATCGGTCCCTGGGCGCGAAGAGCCAGTGGTGGCGCTTACGAATGTGTGTCTTTCTTTGAGGAACAAACACGCCTGTTTCAACCATATGAAAGTGGCTCAAAATGTCACAGTAGGGTTACGCGGTTACGCAGGTTTTGGTCTCAGCAAGTACTGCCGCTGATATCTCTACCGGTATAACCAATGGTGACAACCACTAGTCAATGGTGACAACCACCAGTGTCACGCATGCAGGCTATGCCTTTAAAGACACAAAGACTTCTCTCAAAAACAATCAAAGACAGCACGGAACTCTGCTGGTTGCATCTGCCGAATGCTTGTGGGCTGTGACCCTCCCGCATTCCCCCCCCCCAATCCCCCCCCCCCCAACACAAACACCTGAGAGCAGGTTTTTCTGCCAAACAAGAGATCACCTCCAGACAAGCGCCGGTTCAAAAAAAGGGGGGAGTAACTCAAAATGGGCTTTCGACCTGGCAGGGTTTCTCCAACCATTGGAATGATGATCTGTGGCCACATCTGAAAGGAGAGTCCTACAAGAGTTGGGGTTCTCCCCCTGTTTCCGCTGTTGCTGTTCCAACCACATCCGGGAACAAAGAGACAGGCCCCCCGGCCCCAGCTTGTGGAACAAGATCTTCACGTCCTTTGCCATGCGCAGGGCCTCGCAAAAGAGTCGAACCGAAGCGGAAGGAAATCGGCAGTTAAAAGACGGGAAGCGAGATTTGTTTTAGTCAACACCCGATGTGTTGCCTATTATTGCTTTGTTTCAAGTGTTGGTTTAGACAAAACACATGCGCTGTTTGTTTTGCTTACATAAAACCTGGTTGTTGCTGTTTGGTGCAACAAAACGAAACAATAGAAACGGGTCTCTGCGTTGCCCTCAGAGAAGGACAACAAGGGGCGCCCAATGTCTGAACGCGGCAGTGGACCCGTTTGGCACACGCATGCAAAACAGAAAGGCTTGGACGCTGTAAAAAGAAGCAAGCATGACAATGGCCTGGAGGGGTCTCTAAAGTTGATACACCTGAACTGCGCTAGCAATAACCAATAAGAAGTTTGTACACCAAATCCCATAGGTGACTTTTTGGAGTGCTCACATTCCTTATGACCTTATGGAACTTCGATTGGAATTTGGAGCTCTGATACCAGATGTAAATGGGGAGGAAATCAAGACTCAGGAAGTTCACAAGACGTGTAACCGGTCAAAGGGGTGTGGCTCAAAACATGGAATCCATATGGAAACAAAGACTAACACCCTGCAAAACTCCAGTTGAATTTTGAGCCACACCCTTGAAGCTCGCCAAAACAAACAAACCCCATTTCGCGCCTGGACATTTCCTCATCAGGTCTTCAACACAAGTAAAAGAGCAAACATTTGCACAGGCTGCCCTTTGATTTTCTGACTCCACCTTCAATTGCTCGCTATACCGACCAGCCGGCGACAGGAAACCTCCATGTTGCA